GTAAAAGGACAAAACATGTATGACATGTTTTGTTTTTTTAAATATTATTTTGTTTTCTTTTAAATATTATTTTGTTTTATTTTAAACGCTTTTTAATATTATTTTGTTTTTATTTTAATATTTTAACAATATATGGTATAATAATAAAACTTATAATTTACTTTCAGTTTTATGAAATCTGTAATTTAAAGCGTTAGTTTTACATTGAGATAGCGTAGAGAGCGTACCTATAGAGACAGCGTAGGTACATACATATTCTGTTTGTACAATGCATTTATCGGTTTCATTCATGATTGCCTAGTACACGTTTAAATTCATATTATTCATCCAGTGTGGCATTGCATGGTAAACGTGGTGTGTTGTGTACCTGTCAAGCCTAGCATACGTACCGGATACTTGTAGGTATTATTAATGGATTATGTGTGAATGACTTTTATGTATTGTTATTAGTAATCGTGATCCGATAATATTATTTATTCCGTGAAATATACGCACAATATTCCTCAAACTAAAATGGAATCTAAAATAACTCAAAATATGTGTGATCTTTTGTATAAATATTTACAGTGCTTCTCACTGTTCTAAAATTAATACCCAGTTTCGTTCATAAATCATACATAAAAAAATAAGTAACTCATTATTTTGACGTAATCATGGAAGGAACGGATGTTATTCAATAATTTGTTGGTAGTTGAGATGGCACTGGCCATGCATATTATTAGATAGACGGATTTAGAAAACGATATTATTATTCCAAGGCCATTCATTTGTATACAGGGTTACGCACCAAATACCTAGCTCACATTTTATACCAATAAAGTAAACACGAACATATAGTGACACGTTGGATATACCTCATTAGAAACAGTATGACTTTTGACTACTGTGTCGCTGTAAACGTAAGGTGAGGCAACAACGATTAATTTACGAGTGACAATTTCTTTTATGATTAAGTATTATATATAGTATATATTATATTAAACAGTTGTATCTATATTTCTTTCATTAATTTAAATTTTGCAAGAGTCGAGCGAAATCAACCATTTATGCAACAGTCAGCCCTGCAAAAATATCGCAACAAAAGATGCGGATGACGTGACAGTAATCTATTTAAAACGTTGGCCGCACTTGACTCTACTCTTGTTTGTTTTTCGACTTCATTTAGAATATGCTCGCTAATTGCTCCAACAACAATAAGATCTCTTATCTGTACAAACATTAGATTGTAACCTAACTATTTAATTATTCTCGCTTTTTACATAAGATTCTGACCTTACATTTGAGGAAAACAATTTAAATTAAGAATATAATTTGGAAGAGTTCCGTTGATTTTTATGTTCGTATTTTTAAGAAAGTGTCAGCTTATGTAAATATACATTACTCTGTTAAGGTAAAATTATTAATATTTCAGTTTTAAATAAATGTGATTAAATTATCTCATTGAACCAGGGATTCGTCTTGGGTTTTTGTGGCGTGCCGTATGAGTGTCACGCATTGAGAGCTTTTCTTTCACCCTAAAAAGGAAGACCTTAAAACTCTGAAAGACCTGGGCTAACCCTTAAAATATTTCCTTAAAATCTCGTCTACATAATATATCTCTTATAGAAGGCTTGATTTCGCTGTGAACACTTTCAACGATAAGAATAGATTATTCTGGTGCAGTTTGCCCATGACAATATCCTACACATTTGCTACCTTGATATTAAAAAACCGCGTAAGCCTTTTTGATGTTATCACGGTGGCTGCATTAATGTAAATTTGGTACCGTAGAGAGACTAAATGTACAGTTATTTTCCGTTGAAACAAGGAAGAGTTATTCACCTTAATTAATTTCTCTAAGCAACTTATCGATTCAAATATATTTAGAATATAGAATTGAGTAGTAGGTTATTTTAATTTGCCAATACTGATATACATTAGATACTACACTGACCATCGTAACCTACGGTCTTCATAATCTTACAGTTTAAGTATCCTACATTTAACGCAAGTTGTTTGCTACTATTCTAGAAGAGAAGTGGATTAGACATTCTATTCCATATTACAATTGCTAAAAAGTATTTCTATGCTTGACTCACCTTTCTACGTCAACATATCAAAAAATTGACTATCTGAAGTAACGCCGAGAATTTTTTCGACTTCAGCATCAGTGATCAGGGGTTTGATTAGTGCTCAATACAAAAATATGCGTAAATTTACAATTGAATAAACAATAAGATATTTACTTTTATTTATTTTATCTATCAGCATTTGCCTGCCTGCCTACATACATGTATTTATATATCGCCCTGCATTTTATAACCTTTAGTAAAAGTTATATTTAGTCTAATTTTAAAAGCCTTAATATATTCCAAAATTCGTAAAAAGAGAAGGTTGTCGACGATTAACTATAACTACCATAACTAAATACCGTGACAATAAAACACATAAAAGATTCACAGTACGTATACTACAATTACGAAGCAGTTTATTTATCATCGCAATTTTTCACACCCACACAGTATAGCCGGATCTGAGCTCTAAATCGTGGCGCCAGAGTTGACGGAACAGTCCAATAATACTTAACGCACAGAGATATAGGAACATGCTTCTATGCCGGCGGAGTCAACGTCCCCGCTTGCCACACTAAAATCATATTCGACTGTATTTACTTTTCTTCCAAGGTGTTTTACTGCCAAGTACCCAATACCGAAAACCGGTCAAGCGCACTCAGAACATCAACGCGCCGACATATATTTATATGAAAGTTGTTATTGCTATTGTAACGCTCCTCAATTGTTCTCTATTAGTATTTATTATTTGTGCGGAAAATAACTAGAGACGTTATGTACAATGTTTGCTGTAACATAACCGGAAGTAAAAGGTTTTTTGTTCACCTTTTAAACAAGTACACGGATCGCCTAGTGAGAAGTGGCTTATGATATAGTCACCTCTAAACGCTTTCAAGAAAAATTATGTCGTTTGTCATTTGTCATCTTCTTTCGTTAACCCTAGCCATCTCTTTTCATGAAGATATAACGACTTTACTCGCCAGCAAAATTACATCACCAGTACAAATCGGAGACCTTTGCAATAAATTGCATAACATCTTTCAAATGACAGTGTAGCAGCCGGTTAATGTTTAAGGGCCGATATGGTTGTAAACGTCAACTGATAACACATTTGCGAATACAAAGATGATGCATATAATGTGTTCCACATTCTTTGACGGCAATGATTAATGTTAATTGTGTAGCGATATTAGCACTTTGATTAACTTGCAACTAAAGTAATTCTGATTACGTAACTGTCCGAATATGTGTTAGGTATGCACTAAATGAAACAACTAGAAGGTTATATGATCATACTTTATCTTCATAGTTATCATAGGCTTACTCGAGTAGAGTTTAGAAAATAAAGTAATCCACTTGCCGCACTCGCAGTCTATGTCCAGCAGTGGACTACTAATGGCAGTCTATTACTATTAGATAATTTATCGGATTAATTCTGAATCGTAAAGTTTATATCGCAAATATGTATTAATAACATTTTAATAGAAATATTTTCATGCCAATTTCATATATCATCTCTCAATTCTTATCACAAATTGATTATAATCCTTAGGATTAATCAATTAAAATCAAATTGTAAGCATTTTTACAATAGTAATAAGTATAAGAATTACGCATATAAATAACAAAATTTATTTATTTGGTCTCAAAAAATTGGTGCGGGTGTTCTAAATAGAATAGAAAATTTAATATTAAATGTAGAATAATAAATTATCTGTCTAGCGTAACATGGATCTGCTAAGAACATTGAACATGATTAATCGGTATGAAATACGCAAATGTTTTCACATTTTCCAATATGCCTGGATATTTAAAACTTTCTTGTCATAACTACGAAACTGTGTCTTTATAAAATGAATAATTTTTAAAACGAACACTACCTACATACCTAATATGTTGCGAACTATATAACTAAGTGAAACAATATTTTATCTCCTAATAGATTGCGATCAATCAAAACTGTTAACGTGTCGTCATCCATCATTAAGAGCGAAGAACTTGTATAAAGTTGATTCGGGCTTATTTTCCGTAGCGGCTGGTAGTTAAAAGTTAATCGATTACTGGTGTGATGTGTTGGTTATAGCTATGTCGGGCCGTGGCCGCGTCAGCGACCGGGTACACATTGAAAAATAGTGTCTGGCCGTCGTCTAGCGCCTTCGAGCCAGCCGCCGCGCCCGCGCGCACCGCCCCGTGACTCACGCGCAGGAATCCGACCGAATACGACGTCCAACTAACCGCAGGGTTACCAATAGGAACAATTTATTTACACCACAGACTATTAAATACTAAAAAGCATTATCATTTTATGTTTTTAGAGTATTCATAGTACATATAATACATCGTACTTTTTGTGATTAAATAAGTAGATTAAATAGGTAAGTAAGTAATTAAAAATACAATGCTAATATACTATAAAACCAGGATACATAAAATAACCAGGTCATACAAATTCGGTATCCAATAATACTCGACTTATAACTGGCAGCCCTGCTCTGCCTACACCTGCCTGGTTTGTAGTAGGTACTCGACACCCGTCTCTAGACACATTCATCAGCTCAATGTATGCTTAATCTGGATATTGGTACGTAAATGTAATACATAATACGTACTACATAATAGGTACGTAAACTAACAATGTTTCTAGTAACCCAAAAACATGTTTACTAATAGCTTGTTTTCAGAGCATTCTCGTTTTTAAGTATTTGTAACTTTTATTACCCGCAAATTGCTCTTAAAAACGCTCTTAAACTCACGAGCCCATCTTAAACTTAAAAAAAAGAAATGTTTAAACTTAATTCTTTTTTTTTGCCGTCTATGCAAGTCAGAAATATATAAATAGGGATCTTTGGTGTTACTGAACAACTTTCTCCAGAATTACTTAATTAGTTTAACTTGTTAAATAAGTATAAAAAAGTTGTATACTATTTTAAGCCACTTTTTGTTAAACAGCCGGGATCTGTTGGACGGGGATGGATCGCAATGGAAAGTGCAGCTCAGTGGCAGCGCTGCGCGTGGGCCGGGCCGAGTGCTGCGCGGGTGCTTCACGCGCTCCGGGTGCCTGGAGCCCGGAAGATCTCGACAGCGGGCAATTATTCTTCTATAAGACACTTACTAAAGGCTTCAAGTGTGTTGCTTGTGCAGGTGAGATACATTTTAACACGTTTTTTTTGTCTCACTACTTCTCATTCATTTCTCTTTGTTCTTGAGGGTTTGAAGAAAATCTAACAGTTAATATACAATATACACCTTTCAAATGCAAGATACTCAAGTTCATATTCAGTCGGCACCTTTCAAACGAAGGGCTTTTTTTTTAAATATAGTACGGTACATTCATTCTTAGTAGAGATTATGTCCCAAAATAAAAATAAAATCGAGACTTTTTTTCATAGAGATCGCTGAACTCTCGTGATATTTTATACTAAAAATCTTATTTCAAACGATTTGTCACCGTATCTTCTGTACATATGCTGCTTAATAATCTTTGAATTTAAATATTATTTAACTTTTATAATAAAGCCTTTAAGACTGGTCCCTTAATGCTCATTCAACACATTTCTGACGTACTGATGCAGTAAGGTATTCTAATAAATCTAAATAGCTCAATTACTATTCAAAAAACGAATTGTTTTTGTTGTAATTTGACTCAGGCTGACGTCATATGATGCGGTGACGATCTTTGTACATTTGGACTTTATAACGTAACTTGGGATCGTTATAACCTCAATCTACGAGAGCATACAGGATAATCGACCTTCTTTTACTTAACAAAAACTTTAACTGTGCAATAACAACCTTGCTAATTCCAAATTGTTAATCGGGTTCATTAAAGGTTCTTACAGAGAGTGTAAATGTTTGGGTGCAGTTGTTGAACAAATATTGGTATGACGTAAACACATAGCAATGGTTCTCAGCTCATTAATGGTACTGAAAGTGGTGTACTGAATACGGTTGGTGGTTATACATGGACCGACAAACCCCTATTAAGTCAAAGCCAGAGCTGCTAAGAGCTATCAGGTACCTACAGATTTATGACGTACGTACCGACACGAATGGTAGAAGAGTAGCACTGGCTCTTCCCGGAGAAATGCAGGATGTAATTCAAATCACTAACAATCACAAAATTCAGTACTATTTCTGTTTGAAAATTGTGGGATAACATCTGATTTTAAAACAAAATTCTCATGTGGCATATAATTCTGGTGTAAAATTGTAATATAATTAGGTTTAGGCAAGGTGAATAAATCTGTGCAGAAAATTAGATGATGTAATGAGTGCGGCAGTATATAATTTTTATTACCGAGAAAAGACAAATCTCACAAGTATCTGTAGCGAGGTTTTCAAAACTCACGGGCTCGAATGGATCACGGCTCATAACAAAATACATCGAATTATGCCTCAGCATGACCAACACACATTGATACACCACAATTCCCATCAAATATAAAACTAGCTCTTTATTATTAAATATAAAGAAAGATAGGTGTTCAAAAATATACTGTTTTCACAACACGCCGACGACTATTTCCACTAGATTCTGATCTGATATTAACACAAAGTGTTGCTAAATCATTTTCTATTTTAGATTTATAAGCAGTAAATAAACCGTTAATTTGTTGATGACGAATTTTATTCACAAAGCTAAGCTAATTAATTAAAAACTGAGTAGGTACATTAACTACTAATAAGTTTTACTTGTACAAATAATCTAATGACGCTAAATTGGGTAAGCTAACACTATTAACAATTTACTGCATAAGAATTATAATATACATTTACTCTTAAGTACAAAAACTCTTGCCATGTTTAAGTAAACAAATCAGAATTCTTAATCTAAGGTAACACTGTCACTTGTAGGTACGACTACGATCAAATGAATGAAGTTACTCTGTACTAGATCGATTACTTTTACAGATATTTACAGAAAAGTATCATGTTTTACAGTGTTATTATAATAGTTAAAGACCCCGTGTATTAACTGTGAAAAGCTATTTAACAAATTTAGGAATCGATTTTTTTAATAATAGTAAAACTCTCATTTTGAAACTGATATATGCATTTATTTTTAATTTAACGATAAAGCGTAAGAACGAGCTTGGCAAGAAAGAATCTTCCTGTCGTGACTATTTTTCAAATATCCGGATAAGAAATCTTCAAGATTGTCGTGATAATTAGAGAAGTGCACCTATAGCACGAAACAATTTTCCGAGGCAATAAGGTTTCGATATAACGGAGTAAATAACTATTTAAAAAAAAAACCCTCATTCGCCAATGTCTAACTTTCAATTACTCAACTTAACAAGTGCTGAACAAACAGACACAGTACTAAGATAAACCAGTATAAATTCCATTGTTAAACGTGAGCGCAATTGTACATCAAATAACAAAATTGGGACGAGTGCATTGTCCGATAGATGAACATTGCGCTTCAAATCAAGAGGGAGTTGGCACTATAGCAAATATGCGATTATAGAAATGAAAAATAATTAAATGTTATTGTCCATATTGAAAAATATTTTGGCAAAACATTTTGTTTGAAGTAAATTCGTCCGCGATAATCAAAGCCTCTGAAGTACATTGTTTCTAAATACACTTAGGTACGCCTTATTCCCGTCCAGGGTAGGTAAAGACGATAGAACGCCATATGCCATGATCTTGACATACAGCACGCACCTCGTCCACATTCATTTTCCAGTTTCATACACCCTCACCGGTTGCTTTTAATGAGATCCTTCTTCAGTATTCTTCCACTCTGGTCAGGTGATAAATTACGGAGTTTTAAAATGTGAATGAATCCATGCTTTAAAACATATGGTTTGGTTATGGCTCGACCGGAGTGATAACGCGGCCTCAAACTCCTCACATAAAAACTGGTGTTAAGAGGATTTCTTTCGTCGATTTGACCGAGTGAGTGAGATCCGGACCGGAGCTCAACACCCCCTGTAACCAGAGTTAGTTATGATGGTGCTTAAGTAACATTTTGACGACTTACAATCAATCTAAGCGTATCCCTGTCTTGCAGAGTCATGTGCAGGAGTTTCCTGCGCAAGTGGTCGACGGTGCGTTGTCAGAGGAGGACGTGCACGATGCGTGTGCGCCGCTGCATGCCGCCGCGTCGGTACCGTCTGTGGCAGCGACGGTCGCACCTATCCGTCGCTCTGCCGATTGAGACGAAGAGCTTGTCGGCGGCCCGCCAAGCATCTCGTTCTGGACTATCCAGGAGCTTGCCAAGGTAAGACTTCCATATTCCAAAAAATAATTAACGCTTTGCTTGACGTATTCATGGTTCGCTGCAACTTCGTCTTGCGCCTACCACGCGTTTCAATGACTGACTGCTATGGTACTAAATAACATTTTTTTAATTACAAATGTAATCTTGAGTTTCTTATCGTGAGATATTTATCTAGATATTATAATCATTGTTCGTAATTAATAACCCGAATGAAGAAACTTAACGATTCTTTAAACCTACTTTACGATTTTCGACTTTCAATTGTTTTTTTTATTCGGCTTAGACGTGAAAGATTTATGCTTAAAAAATCCGAATCTATTTTGAATACGGCAGAGACGGCTCGCAATATCAACGCTTCGTTTGGAGAGGAAATTGTTAATGAACGCACCGTGCGTTTTTGGTTTAAACGCTTTCGTAATGAAAACTTCGACTTTAAAAACGAACCACGTGGAAGACCGCCCTAACAGGTGCATAACTCTGAATTGAAGGAGATGGTGTAAGCCGATTCGAGTCAAACTACCCAGGAATTAGAGGCATGGTTTAACGTTGCCCTATCTACAATACTGACTCATCTGGATCAAATCAATAAGATAAAAAAAATATATAAAAAATAAATATCAGAATATCAACTGCCATATTAAGGTGCCTGTGAAACAGCTTTTTCTGCTCCGCAAGATTGTTCGTTTGCACCCTCGTATACCTTATCCAAATTCTTTTAAAGGAAAAACTTAGAATTTGCCTTTGAAAACCACGTTTTCAACAAGACAGCTTCCTATCTCTAGTTATAAAATCTACAATAAAATCAACAAACTACTGGCCTTACAAACATTAAATAGCTTCGAAATAAAAATCAAATTATCTAAATGGCTCTAAAATTTAAATTCATACTGTAATACTATGTAGTATAAGAATTATTGAAAGTGGGATTTTAAGTAGGTAGGTGAGTTAGATGAGTGGAGAACAGAGTGTAATACAGTCAGAGCTCTCGAACTGCGGCGCTGTCTTATAGGTAACCATGACAGTTGCGTACGGTAAGCGGATATGTGATCGTACTTTCGCAGGTTGAAAATGAATCGAATGCAATTGTTGAGAAGTCGGTCTAACTTATTGAGCAGATCTGCATTCAAGTCGAGATAACACACATCACCATAGTCGATAAGTGGAAAAATTAAACTCTGCACAAGCATCGTCTTTGTTTTTTTTGGAAGGAAATACACACTCTCCTTCACATACATACACGTGTGAGGGTTGAGGACACCCTCACACGTGTATGTATGAGGACAGGACTTGCATACTTACCCATAAATATACTGTACTAGATTTAGTCGGACAATGGTGCTAATTCTGTTGTTCGAAAACTCTCTAAACTAAACTAAAAATCCCTAAAAAAATTTTAGTCCTGCCAAATTTTACGTTTTCAATACAGGAAACTTTATTTGACAGGACGAAACAAATTTTTAGTTTAGAGAGTTAACCATTATAATATTTTTGTTTAATAAGTTCATAAAATTGTAAAAGTAAGCATCGATCTACTTGTTAAATTTTTTTCATAGCAGAACACTGATCTCCAAAATACAGGTCCCCACCTACCTTGGATTTCAGGGTATAAACACAAAATTGTCCAAAATGAATGAGTAGCATAGGTTTAACATTACTGTAAGTTGTACAAACTTTTTGAGTGAATAAATGATTTTTATAATTATTATTGCTATTTCATATATAGAACATTAGCATGTACATAGGTTACATATAATAAGTTATAAATGAACGCATGATTTATGGTCGTTCCGTTGGTACCACGCGCTCATCCATCATTCGCAATCACCAACGTCGGACTAATACATACTATAATAACAAATACCTGTACTAATGGGGATCTTAAAAGCCTCATGTAATCCTGCTGTCTAATAGCTATAGGCATCAAGCATAAATTGAGCAGGTACTCACCTACTTTTTTGTGTTGGCTTTCAAAAAACAATGTTTTGAGAAAACAATCCTTAAAATCCATGTAAACCATTAGTGTGATACATTAACAAAAAAATTTTTTTTTTTAGATTTTTATATAATAAATTTATAATGAAGCTAGTCTCAACATATATGGAGTATTTTAAATGTGAAATTTCACACATTAATTTATCAGTTCACTTATAAATTGAACATTAACGAAAATACTGATCTAAATTTCATCACATGGCAAGTAGATCAGTATTTATGAAGTGATTAACATCTTGTAAACTCTTCTGGAATTATATTGTATCTACCTTATTTTATTATAATACTAAAGAAATATAATACTATAGAAAGAATGCGCAGTTTTCAAAAGCTCGACATAAGAAAATTATTTTACTTTAAACTTGGGACCACAAATATCACAATTGTGTTATATAGGTACCTAAATTATATATTTACTATACATATTTGTAGACGCATGGGTTTTTAAACAATCAGAATTGTGTATCCTATTATTTCTGTGACCCACGACACATTCTGTTCTTTATAAATCTCAACGACTTTAAACATATTTTCTTCACTTCATAAAAAGTCTTGACCACTTCTAAACGACGTCTTTATTGAACTACGGAACTAATGACTTAAAAACACGCAACAGTAGTGGCAGATTAAACAACCTGTCGTATTTCATATGTCCTAGCATCCTATCAGACCAGTATATCATGATTTGCATATCACTTACACACACCCATACATCATAAATGTAGTCATGGCACGGATATGAAAACAACGATCAAACTTCGTGGATTAGTTTTATCTAGTGGATCACTTCTAATATTATTTGAAATTCGTGAGTTTCATCAACTTAAACACATTGCAAACAAAAAAATAGTACTCAGAATAGCCTAATTTCTAATAACTATGTTTTTACACAATGTAGATGTACCAATATACCGATATACTTATCTGTATCTAACAGAAATATTCATTTCACTTGAGAATCGAACTTATAACACTCAAAGCGTCAGTGCCAGTAGCAGTTCATAAGGTCATCCACACAGCCAAACTTTCATGTATACCATTTTAATGATTTGATTTAGTCTATAGAATTAAACTATCTCGTGGGAGTGCAAGTTTATTTCACCGAGAGCAAGTTTAGCTCACATCGTCTCGCTCTTGACGGCGAACGCGTTTAGCGTTGCGATTGGTAGAGATTTCAGTGCGGGCCAATCGTAGCGCTAAACGCGGTCACCGTGACGATCGAGTAAAAGTGAAATAAACTCAAACTTGGCCCACTGTACATCTAGTAATTACACTAGCCACTGTCGCAGTGTGTAAAAAATCAGCTTCGCACACAAATTTAGATCGATATTAATATTTTTTTTATTCTCAGGAGATGACTAGCTTTGAGGTCTCACTGCGACTTTTTTTGAAATGTTAAGACATAACACTACAAAAAAATAGTTTTACGCAAAAATTATGAAATGAATGTTAAAGAAGGAAAAAAAAAACATTTTGTTTAGATTTAACAAATAACGTATATATTTTCACATAAATAATCAATACATCTTGATTTCCTAATAATATGAGAAAGGATTTGGAGACACATAACAAAACTTTTATCTAGAACTGATATATATTAATTGAAATCAGCAGTGCCTACAATTTAAAAACAATTTCAATGTTTTTTTTTTAAAACACCTTAGGAGATAACCAGCTTTAAGGTCTCACTTCCACTTTTCTTGATATCTGAACACATAACCTACAAAAAAAACACCCAATAATGATGAAACGAATAATGAAAAAGTGAGAAAATCATGTATCTTGTTCAGGTTTAACAAAAGATATATTTATTTTTACATAGATAGTCAATACATATTCATTTCTAAACAATAGAATGAAGGATTTGGGGACACATAACCTAACTTTTCTCTATACCTACCCATATTGATCGAAATCTGCCCTGCCACAATTTAAAATCCATTTCAACAATTTTTTTATATGCTCAGGAGATGACGAGCTTTAAGGTCTTACTGCCACTTTTCTTGATATCTTAAGACATAACCTACCATTTTTTTATGAAATAAGTAATAAAATAAAGCGAGAACTCTATGTATCTTGTTCAGATTTAACGACCAACATATATATTTTTACACGATGAAAGATCTGGAGATACATAGCTTAACTTTTCTCTAAAATGGATATTTTTCTAAAAAACCTTATAAGTCATCATAAATTGCTTGCGGTTATGTATTGACCTTGAACATTTTAGCTGGCAAATCTACTTCCTACTGCAAATCCTCTAGGAAACCCAATCAGCCTATAATGGATTTGACACATAATTTCTCAAGTGTTTCAATCAATCAAATCAATTAAACATCATACAAATATACTGAGAAATGATCTAGCTGAAATATTTTTCTCATATATACTTGAACAATAGGTTACATCCTTTTGATAATATTAATATTTAAATCTACTTAAAACTCCACGTGGATATCAATGTGGAAATCAACTTTGTCCCATCCATTTCAAGTGGAATTCCACATCAGAAACCATGCCGACTTTCTTTCGCTCATATTTTTAAGTCCTTGTACCTGTCTGTAGGTCTTGTTACATCACGAGACATCCAAGACACTCGGAAGTCTTGGAAAGAGAGCCGTAGATCTCCGAGACTCATAAAAGTCTCAGAAAGAAACACGAGACCTACGACTTTAAAATTTCGAAAAATACTTAAGACCTAAGAAACTTTTGAAAGTTTTTAAAAAAATCATTAAAATTATTTTTTTATTGTGGGCAGGACTGATTTCGATAAATATATATCATTAATATAATATAAAAATAATGTTTCTTCCCTTTCCGTCCATCCTTCCGTTTTATCGTTCATTTTATAATTTTTAAGTAAAACAATTTTTTTGTAGGTTATGTCTTAAAATATAAAAAAAGTGGTGAGACCTAGAAGCTAGTCATCCCCTGAGCATTTAAAACGTTTTTTGACACACTGTGCGTCGCTGGCATGGTTAAAGGTTTGGGTTTATAACCCGTGCTTG